ACCGGCGATCAGTGGGCGATTGCGGGGCGATGCGGCTAACGCCTTAACACCCTAGCGTTGCCATGGCGCCCTGGAACGCCCTGAAGTTGCCCTAACCTTGCCCTGACGTGACCTATAACGCCCTAAACTTGCCCAGCGTTGCGTGAGTCGCCGAAAGCATTTGCCCCGGAAGCGTTCCTCCTCGTCAGCGCATGAGGGGTATGCTTCTGTCGTGTCAATGTAGTGCTCACGGTATCCGGAGCACCCCGCAACACGGCCACGTGAATGCTCTCAGCGTGCGTTGTGCGGTCGCTGTGCTGAGCACCGCCAAGTGCACGATCGTGCGCAGGATTGCGGAGAGGGTCCTGTGCTGCCCAGGTGGCGGGCTTGAGTCGGTGAACGAAAGGATCGGGTCCCGAAGCGTGGCGCCACGGAGTGATGGCGCCCCACTCGTCATGCCCTCCACCGCATAACCTCGGGGGGGTCAGAACGCAGTTCCGCTGCATCCCCAGCGACACAGTCGCTGGATGCCTCTTCTCTTTTTGCTTCTCCCAGGGCTCTCGAAACACAGCCCCCAGAAGTTCGGGACCTTGTTATGATGCCGCAGATGTGTAAGCTGCATCGAGCAACTGTCTAACACCTGAGGTTCCCCCCACGATCGGGGGCCGACATTTTGGGGTCCGCGAGCTGCCTGGGAACAGTCCGATCATGCCCAGGATGGGTCGCAGAGCGATCCTTGTATATTTTGGTGGTGGTGGCGTCCTTGATGAAATGCTGGTTGTGCACGCTTCCAGTCGTGGGTCCCGGCGGATGGGCTGGTGGCCGTGGTGCGTGCAGGGATGAATCTGCTCCGCTACCATCCAGAAATGGGGGTGCAGGAAAAGAAATGGAGATGCGAATGCTTGTCCGGAAGGCGGAATGTACAATTAAGTACGGAAGGTGCGAATAAGGCGTGCACGGGAGCACTGCAGGCTCGACTCCCATACCCCAGGGCCAAAAAGGCAGCGGACAGCCTGGGTGGGAAACAGGCGAGGCAGCAGGAAGGGGGAAAGATCTACCGTTCGAGTGCCAGTCATGTGCGCTCGCGCCATATTTGACATCCGATCCCTGCAACCTATCCCTATCTCTTCCCATTGCGCTGGTCTTGTTTCTAAATTCGCGGACGCATGTCAAAGCAGATTTGGAACTCCCAACACGGCTCCGTCGTGTTATGCTTGTGGATGCCACGACAATGGACACCCTAACAGCCCTATCGTTCAATTTAAAATGTGTTTTAAAATGTGGGAGTAAAATTCTAAACAGGTGTTTTGCATGTTTAGAACATGCTTAACACATGTTTTACACATCTGGAACTTATTTGGCAACATGCTTCCTCTCCATTGACCGTCCTCCACAATGTTATGCGCAATCGGACAGGGGACCTGCGCAGAAGGAACAGGAGCAAGAGGAAGAGGGATGACGAGGACGAACACCAGCAGTGGGAACTGGAGAGGAAAGAGCGGGAGGAGCCGGAGAACCTGGGGAAGGCGGAGAAGGAGAAAGGAGGTGGGCGACAGAAATGAGGAAGGACTCGGATCCAGAAAAGTGGCCGGCGCTGGGGCGAGAGCGCCATTCTGAAAGACGAGAGCACAGCGCACATCCAAAAAGAAGGCTCACGCTGCAGCGGAAATGCCAAGTTGAAACAACAAAACCAATCGGATGGTAAAACACGGGATGACAATCACCTTTGCCCAATCCTGCGTGTGACGCGGAGAGGGCGGGACATCTTCCGCACAGAGGCAAGGAGGAGAGAAGAGTAGTGTTCACTATGCGAATGTAGGGAAGGGAGAGTGACAACAGGAGGGGACCGGGAGGAAGAGGAGGGGGGGGAGAGAATGAGGAGGAGCGATGCCCAAACGCTCCCCCCTCGCATTCCCAAGCCCCCCGGCGACGGGATTCGTTCACAGCGCGAACCCCTGGAAGCCTCGACCCGCGGCCCGAGCCTCGCATTGACGGCACCGACGGGGGCGTCGCGTCGGTGGAGGCGACACCCCCCGCCGCAGTCGTGCGATGCAGGGATAATTATCCGTATCCACCGCACGTGGTACCGACGTTCTGGGACCCCAGCGGGGGGCGGATATGGATACATCTGGGCACCAGCGAGCCCGAATATATCAATTCTAGATGCTAGAGGGACAAGAAAAGCATAACATTTGACTTTTGACGGTCCGCGCGGACTTCTTCGATCTGCGCTGAAACGGAGCGCGCCAGGGGCGGCGCCGGAGGCGCCGCCAGGGGGGCCCAGCGGCGACCCTAGAAATCCGCGCGGAGCTCCGACAATTCATATTTCTTCCGTTTTCTGTCCTCAGAATATCCACCGCCCGTCTCGGTTTCCGGAGATCCACCCTCCAGGCGGTGGATCTGCATCTACAGATCCCCGCCTCGGGAAACGGGAGCCGCGGCGCCTTGCCGGCGTCGCCCAGGGCGTCCGCCATCCTGCGGGGCGCGCCGCGGATGGCCGGCGCCCCCCCCCGGCGCCCAGCGCGAAGGGGCGGCGCGGCGCACGGGGGGGGTCGCGTGCATCGATTCCGATGTGCAGAGCCCACTGTGTCAGGCAGACGTTGTGTGTACACACTGCCTGACGCCCGCCGATACGTTTCAATGTTCAATCCGCAACCCCAGAAATTCCGATCGCTCCTCTGCTGGTAGTTCTCCGCCTCGGGTCTATTTCTTATGGCCCGCGGGCACGAGACCGGCCCCTGGAGGCCAAAATCGAGGAACAAAAACGCCGGCTGGAAGAATCCCAGACCGCCTGAGATCTGCGTGTGTGTGTGTATCTGTGTGTGCAGGCCACTGTTCACCTGCATCCGTCATCCGTTACCCGCTTGTCGGTCTGACGCTCCATCGGCGCACGTTCGGTGGTAATCACTCTCAGCGCGTCTCGCTTCGTTGGACCAACCGGCCGCGAAGGAAGACAACAACCAAGAAGCTTGCGCAGCCCTGAAATCCAACGTTGCAAAACAATGTAGCATCGCAACAGAAAAAAAACACCGCTGGGGCCCCAGACCCCACCTTTCAGCTGCTTGGTTCGAGCAGGATCGATCTGTGAGGGTCCTGGGGCCCGAAACCCGACGAAGAGACACCGCTGGAGCCCCGGACCCCATCTTCCATGCAGCTGCACGCGTGTTCGAACCGGAGCGATATGCGAGGGCCCCGGGGTCCGAAACCCGACGGAAAGGCCCGGCTCGAAGCAAGTGCACAGGCCGCGAGGGAGCAGACAGCGAGCCTGGCCTGGCAGGCCGGCGGGCAGGGGCGGGGCCGGGGCGGCTGGGGGGGGCACTGGCCTGCCGCGCGGGGGGCCTGGGCGCCCGGAGAGGCGGGGGGGGGGGCTCCCAAACCATCGTGGCGCGAGGCACGCGCGCGGCCCGACGGAGGGGCAGAGCCGCCGGGCACGGCCTCGCAACGCGCAGGCGGCTCTCGCTTCTCGCCGGCGCCTCCGCTCGCCGCGGATCCCCGGCTCGCCGGAGTGGTCTCCGTTCGCCGGGGCTCGCTTCGCCGGGGCTGGCGGCTCGCCCGACGCGGTTCGCCGGGGCCCGGTGCGCCGAGGCTCGGCTCGGTCGAGCTGGGCGAATCGAGACTGGGCCGAAGGAAGCCGACGCCAGCCACGGGAGGTGTTGAAGTAAGGGGGAGGGGGGGGATGGAGTGCGCGGGGGTTTCGTGGCGCCGGCCATGAGATCCCCCCCCCCCCCCCTGGGCGCCTCCGACCTCGAGGAGGCCCAGGTCCGAGACGGGAGCGACTGGTCGTGGCCTCCAAGGAAGCGGGCCGTGGGGGGGGCAATCGGCGGCGAGGCCAAGGGGGAACGACGAGAGGAGGCGCCAGGGCTTCTCAGAAGCCCTCGCGCCTCCCGAGAAGCCGTGCCTGTCTTCGGAGAAGCCTTCACAGAAGCTTCGGAGGAGGCGCAGGAGGGCATCTGAGAGAGGCCCCGCCGCCTGCTCTGAGAGGGCCTGTCCCCTTTCTCGTCTTCGACCCTGGGCTCGCCGCCGAGGTCTCCGATCTCTCGAGAGGGGTGTCGAAATCGATGGGTCCCCCGGGGGGGTAAGGACCACAACTCCCCCATGTTGTACTGCAACCCCGATATCCCCGACTTTGTGTCGGGAGTTCCCGACTGGAGGAGGCACGTGGCGCAAAACTTCTGGGATAAACGCGACGGGAGGGCGGCTGTCCTCGGATACAGTAGTATGTGCTACGTAAAAGACTGAATGGTTTGTGTGACTGGCGATGCGATGGCACGACCCCTTTTTTCCCCGAGTGGTAATGTTGGAGGCCTGGAAATGGACACCAACACCAACACAGGGGGTTGCCTCCACGGGGAGAGATGATCCTAGATTTCGGTGTTGGTGGTACTGATTCGGTCACTCTTGGAAGCCGGAATATTACCACCATCACCGAGATCGGGATCTTCTTCCCTCGGTGGAGGCACACCGCCGATATTGGTGCTGGTGTCAACCCCCAGGCCTGTGATAATGGCACCCCCGCGTACGCATGGCGCTCGGTCGAATTTGAACGACGTGTGCTGCAGCTGCGGCCCCGTTCCATGAGAAAGGTGGCGAGTGCCTGGCATTTTGGCTAGAGCCATCGTGGGCCAGAAACTTGGCAGGGTGCGCCTCAACAGACACAATGGGGGGGACGTCCTCCAAAGTCATCCATCTTTGCTGAGCGGCTGCTTCTGCTGGGTGGGGAACTCGGGGATTGGGGGCGAGATGCTGCCTGTGAGCGGGGCTCCGAGAAGGCTGGTGCTGGAGGGCCACCGAAGACGACGTACGAACTGCAGCGCGCAAATGAAGGGATTGTGCTACCGTTGACCTGGTCGCGATCAGTGTACGCATGATCAATATACGCATGATTTGTTTCGGAGTCTGTTACGCTGTTCGCTGGAGGTGCTACAGAAAGCTTCCAAATCAGCTCGATGGAACAAAAACGTGCCCCCCCGCCGGGCAGTCAGTCCTGGCCAGCAAGCCCTTCTCTGCGTAGAGGAAAGAATTCAAGTCGACAGACTCCTGCAGGATGAGGGCAACAAGAAACACATCCGAACAAACACGCAACAACATGTCCGCTATTCTGCGTACACGGTTTGTCAGTTGGCTGAGGGCGAAGGCGCAGGCCGTAGCGTTCGCTACATACTTGGTAATGCTCTCTGCTCTTACTCTTGTCCCTCCCCCGCTGATCGCATCGTACATCTACAGCTAATATGTCCTCTGATCGCCCACACACCTGCTATAGATCCACCCACCCACATACACACCTGCCGACCCACCCGCTCAAACATCCGCTTGCCTACCTACATCGCTCCAGGGAGGCGCAACAAACATAAGTCGGACGTGGAGGATAATAAGAAACACGCGCTTGTGCAGATGTGCAAAAGGCAGCAGAAATGAGGCACGCGGTCCAAGCGACGTACGCCCTCACCCTGAACAATACATACCTGTCTCTACAAGCTCAGCCTTTTCACTGGCACGCATGTGCCTGCTACCAACGAAGGCGACAAAGGTATTTTCGAAGTCGTGTTCCATTTGAAAAACCTCCACCAGCCCTCTGGGCGTATGTGGTCTAGGGAGGCTCCTCTTCCAACCCCCTTCTTCCCCTTCGGGGGGGGGGGGTATTACTGTTCCTTCTTAATATACACACCCTCCCCCACCCGGCAGTCGGCCAACCCGGAAGCATGCCGACTCCATGCGGGCCCGCCCCCCACCATCCCTGTCAACAAACAACACAAACCATCTGCCTCCGCATTTGACCCATGCGCGGTCAACCCGATGTGGCCCCCCCCACACAACCCCTGCCCCAAAACAATGCAAAGTACACGCCAGGGCAAAGTCTTGAGTCATGTTCGTGAGGCTCGCAAACACTCTGTATTGTTTTTGTAAAGGACGGCGGGGGTGTCAGCATACTCCCTGCTGTGCACAGGGCTACCATTCCTGACAAAAACCATACAACATGCACTTCGCGGCTAAATCTGGATCATGCGCGGCCATCCCGCGATCACTCCCAAGTGTTTTTTGACAGGGACGGCGGGGGTGGTGGCGCGTGGCCTGCTGTGCGCAGGCCCACCAGATACAATGATGGGCAGTGGTTTTCGACAAGGATGGCGGGGGCCGACATGTTTCCCGATGTGTGCTGTCACGTGCGCAGGCGCACCTGACGCACTCTGCACGTGCCCCGAACGTGGAGCACCTGGCGCGGCTGCAGTGTGCGGCACACCTGGCACACTCGGAGCACGTGGAGCAGCCGGCGCACCAGGCGTGCCTGGCACGCTCGGGCCCCAGGGGTGCCTGGCGCGCGTGGCGCCCCTGGCACGCCTGGAGCCCCTAGCACGCCTGGCGCCCCTCGCCCAAGCGTCGCGCACCTGGGGCAGATTTTTGTTTCCAGTAGCTGTCCATTCAAAGACGACCGCTGAACATGCTCAGGCTCGGGTGTTACTGATGTGTTGGGAGGGCGGGTGGGAGTGAACTAGACGGCTTGCGGGCGGGTGGGTAGCTTGACCCCTCCCCCTACCCCCTCCCGTGGACCTAGACGGGGGCCGCGAGGTGTTGGAGCGTCCAAGATGGCCCAAGACGGCTCCAAGAGGGCCCCTGAGAGTCCAAGATGAGCTCCAAGACGGCTCAAGATAACGCACGATGCCTCAATATGGCTCCCAAGATGCTCCAAGGGGCCCCAAGAACGATCCAAGACGGCTCCAAGAGGCGTCCGAGACCTCCACGGAGGCCCCCAAGAAGCAAATTATTCAAACCACAAGGAAAGAAAATCAATGATATTTGCTTTCTCGCCTTTCCGCTTCAGATGGCCATCCGATGCCTTAAGATGGCTCCAAGATGGACCAAGAGAGCCCCAGGAGAGGCCCAAGAGAGCCCAAAAACGGCCCCCAGAGCGCCCAAGAGCGCTCTAAGAGCGCTCCGTGAGGGGTCCAGAAGGCGATGTTCGGTGCTCCTGAGGGGGGAGAGTAGTTGAAGCTCCCCTCTTTTTTGACCGATGTCCTCCAACATGGCCCCAATAGCGCCCCTGAAGCTTCCAAGAGCGCCCGAAGATGGCCCTAAGAGGCGCCCAGACGGCCCAAGAGGCCTCCAAGAGGCTCCCCAGACGAGGCCTGAAGAGGATCCCCGAGGTACCCAACTCTCCCTCCTTTTCCTCCTTTTCCTCATTCTCGTCCTCCTCGTCCTCGCCCTCCTCCTCCTCCTCCTCTTCTTCCTCCTCCTCCTCCTCCGACGACGATTCCTCTTCCAACGTCCCCCTCTTGGGGTATATGACGGCTTCCCCCGCCCTTTGTTCTTCTGCATGCTCCCCCACTTCCCTGACCATCTCAACTCCCCTGGGCATCGTTTCTGGATGGGCTGGTGGGGATACGCGAAGCATCGACGACATCCTGCCCCTGGGCGGGCGAAGAAATGGAGCCAACAACTGCGCTTTCTGCAGAAGAATCTGTCAGAATCCGGCGCAGAATCCCGAACGGGCGCCCTCGCCCGAGACGTCCTCGGAAAATCGGCCCTGACGCATGTCTCATTTCTGTTTCCAAGAACTCCCGATGAACCGCCGAGCGGCTGGCCAACATCCAATACCTGGGCTGCACATCAGGTGCGCACTACGTGTGCTGCTGGCCCCAGCGGCGCCCGACGCAGCAGGCGTCCAATGAGACAGAACGGGGCGGGAGCGGCGTGGGGAAGGGGAGGAGGAGGAGGAGGAAGAGGAGGAGGAGGAGGAGCAGGAGGAGGAGGAGGAGGAGGAGCCCGACGCAGCGGCGGACCAGTCCTGGGCGGCGCTCCAGCCCTGCCCCTTCGGCCCGTTCCTCAGCAGGCCCCTCAGGCCGTCGAAGCGGGGGGCGTTGTCCATGCCGCTCTCCCACCTTCCCCCCCGCCCCCCGCCTCCCTCTTCTCGTGCCTCCTCCGACTCCCCTCAAATCACGACTGGAACCCCTGCCCCCGTCTTTCTGCGGCTACTTTGGCGCCGGATCGCTCCGTGAGGGCCCTGGGGGGCGAAACGGGGCGAACACGCCAGTTGCGAAACACAGGCAAGGCCCGCATCTCAGGGCCTGTCCTCATCCGCCTCCCAAATGTGAAAACCTCCGCCTCTCGTTGGCTCGAGCTGGCTCTGCTGATCATGACTCGCACACGCCAGAGGGAGGCCACACGGCCACACATGTCTGCGGGGACAACAAGCGACCACGACCACATCGCGGACGCTCCCCCTGGGGGATGTCTTGCGCATGCCACCAATCGTCAGAACATCGAAACCAGCCCAGTACTGGCCGTGGTCGACGTGGGCGTCCCAGACGGCCCAGTCGACCACAACCACAACCAACGCGTTCATGTCCAGGTGGGTGGCTTCTCCCCCGAGGGGCCCTGCAGCAAAAATCAACCTCGCTGTGGTTGTGGCTCTCTGCCGCGCCCGGAATACCGCCGCCGAGGACGCCTCCTTGCGCCTGCGCCCGCGGAGGGCTGTGCCTCCTCCTCCTCCTCATCCTCCTCCTTCCTCCTCCCTCCTCCTCCTCCTCCTCCAAGCCGTTCTGGCTCAGGTGATTCCTGAGCTTGGCGAGGCAAACTTCAGAACGGCCTGCCTCGTCGGGCCAAAGTTTCTACGCGCTGTGCTTTCCAACTTCCACCGTCCCTCAGCATCCAGCCGCATGACTGGGGATGGTTCCTTGCTCCAAGGTGCTTGTCTACCTCTGTGGTCCTGCTCGCAGTGCTCCCGCACTGCGAATTGGGCTTGCCGTATCAAGTGTCTTTGCGGTGCTGCTGCTCCTGCGTGTGTGGTTCAGGCAGCTCGCAAAAGTGAGAAGGAGTGGGGACTGCGGCCAACCCCATCTACACCTCGGGCGCCGAAAGGAAAGTGGGCTGATGGCGGCCCGTCGACCCCCGACCTGGTCGCCACCATCACCGCGTCGCTCGAGAAGAAGTTCGATCAGAAGCTCAAGTCTTTCAAGGACCCGAAGGCTGGACAGGCTGCTAGCCAGGCTCCTCCGCATACTGCTGGCGACGCTGCTGCTGGTGATGATGAGCAGTCGCAGCGTGGAGCGCGTATCGAGTCCCTTGAGAAGGCACTCCGACAGATTGGCGACATCGCCGGCGATGATCCAGCTAAGCAGTGCCTCGAGTCTCAACTTCGAGACGCTCGGAAGGCACAGAGAGATGCCAAACCCGTGTTGCAGCAGCACACCAATGTGGCCTTCCGCTTGCAGACTGCGCAGAAGAAGAAGTCCAAGGCTGGTGAGGCTGTCGCTGCCCAGCAGAAGCTCATCGAGGAAGCCCAACGTACGCTTCATGAGCTTCAGGAGAAGGAGGAGGCCACCAAGCGAGAGGTGGCGGCTTTGCAGGAGGAGCTGCGTCGCACAATGCCGCCTGATGCAGCGCGCCCACCTGCCGAGGTCAATTTCGAGCTGCCCCCAGAGGTCCTGGAGGCAGAGGACAATGCTGACGTTAAGGAGCTCATGTCCAACCCTATCTTCGCCAAGTACCAGCAGCTGTTCAAGGCGTCGGTCCCTCCTACTGCTTCGTCGGATCCGGGCGCTGGCGCAGCGGCAGGGGCAGCAGCAGGACAGCAAGGCGCTGCAGATGGAGCTGCTGATGCATCAATGCCGCAGGCGCCAGGGTACGAAGGTTAATCATCAGAAGAGGTTGACGATTTCTCAAGCACGTCGGCGACAAGCGGGCGTTCGAGCAGCATTTGGAGGCCATGGGCATCAAGCGGGCGAAGACAGCAGCGTCTTCCTGACGCCCCCTTTCTAAGTGGCAATCCTGTATCCGCTTCAGGTCATGCCGTTCCTCAGCATAAGGGGCATCGACAGCAGGCTGAAGCTACAGGACGACAATTCTTCGAATGTTTCAATGGTAATTGCAGGGCCACGCTACTCGAACGGTTGCGTAGTAGTGACTCTTTGATTGTGTGTGCGCAGGAGATTGGCACAGGTCCTGATGCTGTTCCAGATCTTCAGCGTGCTGCTCGTACGATGAGCTATCGAATGTTGTGCAGTCCTTCACGATGTTGTGCGCACGGCTCTCACTCAGCTGGGGTGGCCATGTTTGGTTCAGCAGCATCTTGGGCCCAGATGGAATCCCACTGGTGGTGATTTGGCCAAAGGGCGTCTCACATCAGCAGTCATGGACATCCCAGCCTGGCCTCCACTGGTGGCATATTCAGCTTACTTGTACGACAGTGTCGGCCTCAACGAGGCCAACATGAACTGCTCTCTGTGCTTGGGTCGGTTTCTCGCTCGACTGGCTTCTTCTTGGCAGGTGCTGACTGGAATGTCGGGCCGCCTACCATCGAGCAGAGTGGGTTTACTCGCAAGGCTGGTTTGATCACACTTGCTCCAGTTCGCAGTACTTGCATCATGTCGTCAACGTCCAATACGATTGACTTCTTCTTGGCATCCCATGATATTGTTCGAGCAACCGACATAATCCGTGTCTTTTCTCAGCGGCATGGAGGGCCACATAAGCCACTCCGACTACATCTCCGACCTGATGCAGCTTCGGTAAGACAATTGGTTTTATGTGCACATACCCGCTTTCCTGTGCTACCTCCTTTCGGTCCTCGCCCTGAGCCCCGCAGCTATGTGGCAGCGAGGCAGATGGCGGATGAGGCGACATACTCGGCGGAGTTCGATCCAGTTTCTAAGTCATGGACACGACTCAATCAAGCTTGGACAGTTTTCTTGCAGGATGCTGAGTTGGAGATTGCAGCAGCTTTAGATTTTCCGATAAAGAAGTTGACGCGGCACCACTACCTTCCTCGCATATGGGTTCCTGCCTTGGGGCGCAAAGATCATGCTCAATACCCAGCACTTGGTGTACGCGGCTGGCAATGGTTATATCGAGTTTGGCATGTGTTTGAGATAATGTCCAAGAGTGGCAAGGAGCTCCACCATGATCCAGCTGCAACTTCATTCAACCAAACGGCACTTGTTGAGAACTTCCCTGGCGAAGGGATTGGTGTACGGCTGGACTCACAGGTGTCGGCGCTCCGCAGCCATATTCGAGATTATCCTGCACCAGGCCAAGACGAGCTCTCTTGGTGGACCTTAGCCACGCAGTATGGTGAACAGTTGGCCATCGAGTTTGAAGTTGCAGCGCAGGAGGCATCGAAGCTACGACAACAGTCCTGGAATGAATGGTGTGACCAGGCCCTGAAAGGCTCGGCTAAGCTCATGCACAAGATCACTTGTTTGCAGAAGGTGTGGCGCCCTACGGCGGTTGAGAAAGCGTCAGGCGTCGTTTCCAGCAGCCCAGAGGCTGTGCTCAACGCGGAGGTCGAGGCTCTCCAGCAGCAGTGGACTGCTTCCTTCACGCCACCGCGTGCACACGTGCCTGATCGCGAGTGCCTTCCTCGTGCCACTGCTGAGGATATTAGAAGTGCATCGCGGAAGTTCTGTCAGTTCACATCGTCTACGCTTGACGGCTTCCACCCGAAGCATATACGTTTGCTTGGCGATGCTGGACTGGAGACTCTGAGCGTCTTATTTGAAGGAGTGGAGCGTCTTCCCTCTTACTGAGAAGCCAGCAGGGGGGCATCGCGCTACCCTGTTGCTGGCCAGCTTTGCGCGCGTATGGGAAAAGCTTCGCCGACCACTGCTGGGCAGATTCTTTGCCGCCACGGAGAGAGCTTACTGGGCTTTCGGTTCTGGGAAGAGTGCTGAATCCTGCGTTTGGGCCCAGTCGGCCCTTGGGGAGATAGCTGCCGCTGGTGACGAGATTGACTTGGGGGTCCAGTGGGACCCTTTCGGTTGGATCTCCTTCGGCAGCGAGCACTGCGATGGGGCATACCTGGGGTCATAGTCAAAACGATGTTCAATGTGTGGCGTTCTCCGCGGCTGATGAGGTTAGGACCCGCCTTTCATCCTGTCGCTCTCTTTGCAGAAAGCGGCCTCCCTGCAGGAGATATGTTCAATGATGATTTCGTAAAGATGTACGCCATAAGTGCCTCCGACGACCTCACGGCTCGGTTCCCTGCTCCTACTCGACTCTCGAGCTAAATCGATGATGACACGATAATGGCTACGGGTGATCGGGCTACGCTGCTCAAACTGGTTCCAGATGATGCGGAAGATTTGTATCGCACGTTTCGAAATCAACTTAAGGCGGACATTTCGGAAACCAAAGCTATCACGATTTCGAGCTCCCCAGAATTAGCTCGGGCCCGAGCTCGTCAATTACAGCTCCGAGGGCCCCCTGCTGGCACCATCGCGCACTCGTCCGTGAATCTCGAGGTCGATTTTACGCCAGCTCAGATCAGGGCAACTAAAGGGGCTCTTCGGAAACGTCGAGAACGGTTTCGTCAGTTTCGCCTTCGTCATTCGCGAGTTCTTCGATTTCGGACATGGCTCTCTCATGGTAAGCACCGTATGGCGATTATTCATCAGGCTGGCCTCAAGCCAGCACTGGCGTATGGCAGTTCTGTCCCCGGTATGTCCGGCTACGAGTTGCAGCGAGCTCGAGCTACGCTGCTAAGTTTTCGCTCGCCCTCACATCGAGGTGGTTCCTTGCTGGCTAAGATGGTGCTCCACGGCGATCCAATGGCCGACGTATGCGTTGCCCCTGCAGTGTCTTGGCCAGTGGCAGTCTGGCAGGCCTTGGTTGCACCAGAGCGCTATCTTTTCAGTATCCGCGAGCTTCACAATATGTACACCACCGTGCACGAGAGAATGGAGCCCCACCATCGTTGGCGACATACACGCGGACCCATATCTCGAATGCTCCTCTCTCTCAGGCGTGTGGGTTGGAAGGCTCGCAACTTCGCCCTTTGGGAGGATGATCGAGGAGTAGAAATATCGCTCATGTACACGGCCCCGAATATGATCAGAGGTATGCTTAAAGATGCAGTTCAACGTAAGCATGAGTGTGACATGGCTTCTAGCTTAGGCAATTTTGAGCATGCACGCGTGTGTACTGATATTGTGCGCAATGTTGTGTGTACGTCTAAGAAGTACACGCCGCGTCAGAAGCATGCTGTAGCTAGTTCTTTTTGTAAGGCGGCTTTCATATCGGATCGGCTTCAGATTGATACTGGACTCTGCCCGTTATGTGGAGGCCCCGAGAATGTTTTTTTCACAGGCTCTGGACTTGCCCCTGCCCCCAGGTCGAGGAGGCGAGGTCCCAGGCTTGTGATCCTGAGCTCGTCCAGGAAGCTGTGCAGGCAGGCCCGCCCCACCCCTTCTGGACCCGCCTCGCTTCCCCCCACCCCTCCCTCACCTTCCAACCCCCCACAGATATGATCTATCCAGAGTTTGTAGATCCGCAGGGGAATGTTGTGCAGGATTTTGCGATTCTGGAAGGCGCGAGTGATGTCGTCGTCGATGGGTCGTGTACGAGGCCTCCGATTCGCGATCCTGCTCGAGCATCCTTTGCTGGAGTGTTCCTTCAGGCTGGCACTGAGGAGGTAGTTGCACGCTTTCGAGGGCCGGTCTGGCCTAGTCTCCCTCAGACTCCTCAGGCTGCTGAGCACATGGGTATCGTTGCTATAAATGTTTACACTGGACAGCTGGCTCATCAGATAAACGTGTGGTCCGATTGTTTGGATCCTGTGAGGTACCATAACATGCCAGCTGCCCAGCAAGTCTCCTCCAGAAATAAGTATGCGGGGCTTCGTATGGGTCTTTGGGAGATAGAGGGATCGAACAACGTCGGCCCCTGCACCCACACCCCTGCCCACCGCAGTATGGAGGTAATTGATCACCTTCCGCATGATGAGCGGAGGATCGCGAGAGCTAGCTTTTTAGCGGATCGATTCGAAAAGGAAGCTCTCGCGATGCACGCCCAGGAACCTCAAGCCTCCTGGGATGACTTGAACGCCATGATTGGCAAGGTTCGTGCTGTGGCTCGGGTGATGGGCTCGGTTCTGCCCCTCTTCCCGACATCCCAGTTCCCCGAACGTAAGAAGGTTCCTCGGCCAAGAAGTACGGGTGCGCACCGTTGGCATGCCTGGACGGCTGTGCCTGGCGCACCTGGGTCGTTCATTTGTCATGATTGTCATGCACGTCGTACAGGTACGAATGCGGCTTCTCTTGATATGTCGGGGTGCCCTGGAAGGAGACAGAATGTCTCATTCCTCGCTCGCCCGACGATCGGACACGACCTGGTCTATACACGGCTCTCGTCTGGTCCCAATATTGTATTTTGCAGGCGGTGTGGCGCCTACAGCACAGAGCTTCTCAGCCGCCAGTTGGAAACGCAATGTCGTGGATATGTTGTATCCTCTGCGAGTAAGTGCCGCCTCAATCGTATGCTCCGTGGCCTGCACCCCCAGTCCAATCGTGCTGCCCCAGGTGTTGTGCTCCATATCTTAAGTGATGTGGAGCGACAGAGGCTTCTGGATACCCAACAGCGCCCCCAGCGTGCTATGTGGTTTCAGCGCCCACTCGATGATCTTCCAGGCAGCAGTTTAATCACAGGACTGGAGAGGTTGAGGCAGCGGATTGCAGCATGAGAGGAGGCGGCGGGTTTTCAGGATCATGTTTTGAGGGCCCCAGAGCAGCAGCGGTCTGCTCAGGAGCCCCGCCCTGGGATTCAGGGACAGGCCCAGGAGCCGTTTGCTCCAGAGCTTTACCTTGAGGCTGAGGAGGAGGCCGCCAGCTTCCTCCATGGATAAACAAGTTTGAGTTTTACTCTGCGGGGCAAAAAAAAGAAAACTGCTCCTCCTCCTCCTCCTCCTCCTCTTCCTCCTCCTCCTCCTCCTCCTCCTCCTCCTCCTCGCGCCTGCAGGCCCCGAAGGGGCCCCGGCGCGCCCAGCCCGGGCGAGGAGCCGCACCCGAGGGCCCGGAAGCAGAATGACGCGGACGGCAAGCCGGCACCGCCGATGCCGGGCAAGGCCATCCATGGGCCTTCGGATCGGTATAGGAGGCAACTATACTGTACTGGGGGGTCTTCGCCGGAAGGAGTAAGAAGAATGAAGCCCCATTCTGGGGCTGTTATGCCGGAGTGGGCCTCGGATCAAGCGGGATCAAGCCGGATTAACCGGGATTAACCCGGCTTTAGCCGGATTAAGCGGGATCAAGCCGGATTAAGCCGGATTTCGGACCAGGGCGAAATCAGAATTTGACCTCCCAGGAGATGCATCCGAAGGATCGGTATACAGTCAACCAGTGTAGTAAGGATGCGCGACAAGGATGCAATGGCCTCGGACACCCACCTCGAAGCTCTTCGAGCAGGGCGCGGCCAGCGAAGGCGACGAAGGATGGACCGAGGAGGCAGGGATGCAAGGGTACCCTTGGGAAGTTTGCCCATCCTTACTATGCGGGTTGACTGTATGCGCCCTCCTGGCTTGGTCAGGAAGGCATGTGCATCGATCCCGGGCTCAGGATGGGCATGGCCACGATCGGCGCATGTGTTTCGTTGGCGACCTCCAGGACGGTGGCGAAGAGGGGGCGCCCACGATGACCTGAAGGGGGCCTCTCGAGGTTCAGAACCCTGCAATTGGCGGGAATGCGACAATCGTTCATTCAAAAGTGCAAGGAACATCTGAATCATTGTTGCCTCTTGAGGCCGTCCTGTGGACTCTCTTGGGTCCTCTGTTGGCGTTGTCAAGGCCTCTCGCGCTTCGCCTGTCCTCCTCCTCCTCCTCCTCCTCCTCCTCCTCTCATCCCGCCCACTTTGCTGCTTGGGTGCTGTTGCCCGTGGCCCCGAACTCGCAAAGCCCGTTCTGGTCGTGGTCCCGGAAGCGGAACCACCACCCGTGGTAGGCCTCGAGCTTCGGAAACATCTCCTGGGCACGGCTCCCAGGAGAAGCAAGATCAGTCGGCATCGGATAGGGAAATCGGGTCTAATCGTATTATGCGTGGGATCCGGCTACATCGGCACAGAGTCGAAGTCAATGCGGATCGGTCGCGCCAAGATGAAAAACAGCACGGGCCGCATCGGATCGTCGGTAACTCGGATTCGAAGTGTATCGGGCCCGACAGAATCGATCTCGAATCGAATCGATCGGACCGATGAGGGCCCCGGGAGAAGTGGGACGACGGAACACGCGGCACAGGCACTGCCATTGTCAAGAGGCAGGGCTGGGTCCTCGCGGTGGTGTGGTGTGGTATGCCGTATGCCGCTGAGCTTCGGCGTCCTGCTCGATGCATCTTGGATCCCCAGCTCGGGAGGCACGGTGGACCCTCTCGCCAAGGGTTACCCCGCCATTGGTGTTGGTGTCGTTTCTGTTCGCTCCTCCGCTTCGAACAAACGAATCGGGTAGGAGCAATTTAAGGGAGGAGGAGGAGGAGGAGGAGGAGGGAACTAACATTTTCCATTCTGGAATCCTCCAGCCGTGGACACCCCTCGAGACTTCCAAAAGCCACTGCCGAGGCGCTCTACAAGCGTCTTCTGAGGCCCCTGCAGAAAACCCAAACAACTACCAGCACACTACTGGACACCTCTCGAACCTTCAAGAGGCTGCTCCCACAAAGTCTCCAAAAAGCCTCCGCGAACCCACTCGGACCGGGCGGAAGGGGGGGATATCCAAGGTGTGTGGTTGCAAGTCAGCTGCAGCTGGTGTTTTTGACAACTCCTGGCGCCGGGAGCAGTTATGCATCGAGAAGCGCGCTGGGCGGCGGGGCCGAAGCCAGCTACATGCAGCAGACGTTTTGCCCTCCCGCCCCACTGCTTTCCCAATCCCCTCGCTTCTCCCGAGGTCCTGAGGGGCCTTCCGAGGCCACGCCCACTCGCGAGCGGTCGCCGCTGCCTTCGCTGTCCTCGACGTCGTCGACGGCGCCAGCGAAGGAGGAGAAGGAACAGGAGTTCGAAAGGCTGGTGCGAGAAATGAGGATGAGCGAGCATGGCGGGAAGGCAGGAAGAGGAAGAGAAATGAGGGAGGCAACTCGATCAGGACGAAACCCGCCGTTGGCCACAGAAGGCTGGGAGCCTGCGAGGCTCCAGGCCATCTTTTTTTTCTCGTGGACACGGGCCCCCAGGTCTTTCAAATCCTACAGGGTCAGGAGTCGATCGTGGGGGCCTAGACCACACTCCTGCAGCCCCAAAGCTTGGGGCTCAACCGGGCGCCTCGACGCCTCCGTGGCGAAGGAGGCCTGGGCCCTTCTCCGCCACGACTGGCACACACACACACACACACTCATACTCCTCCTCCTCCTCCTCCTCCTCCTCTTCCTCCTCCTCTTCGTCCTCCTCCTCCTCCTCCTCCTCCTCTTCCTCCTGCTCCTCCTCCTCATCATCATCATTCTTCTCCTCCTCCTCCTCCTCACACTTCTTGGCGGTCGCTGCCTTGCGCGCGGCGACGAGGCAGAGCAAGTCGCATACGGCGGCCGAAACCTAAGCCCGTGCGAGCGCGGGAAGCCCCCGGCACACACACACAAGGAAACTTCTCCGGGAGGCCCCTGGCCCCTCCGGGAAGCGCCCCCCCGGGCCCTCTTAGAAGCCCCCCCCCCGCCATCCTCCGCGAGCCGTCACCCTCGCACGGCCGCCCCCCGATCAACGAGCGCGTTCCACGACTCACAGAGTAGCGACTCGCAAAGAGACCTAGGTCGGTCATGTCCTCCTACAAAAGGGACCCGGTGCGCGCCCCGGCCAGGAGCTCGAGGCGCGAGACCAGCCGCGCAGACGATCGCAGCGACCAGCTGAGCTGCAGGTGCGACCTGCATGAGCAGCGGCCGAGCGCCCGACGAACCATCGCTCGCTCGAGATCGGATCTGGCCGCTCTTCTGACATCCGATAGAGGCTTCCTGAATGGGGTCCGAGTAGGTGGGGTCGAAAGATCGCGCCTTTTGCCAATGCATCGCCGATGTATCGCCGATGCATCGGCGATGCATCGGCGACGTCGGCGACGCATCCGCGACGTCGGCGTGGGGAACATCCGGCTCCACATCGAGCCGCATCGTCGATGCATTGGCGATGCGGCGCGATCCTCCGACCCGATCCACTCGGACCCCATCTAGGAGGCCCGGATCCGAGCCCCTCGAATCCGATCGAGTCCTTTTAAGGTAGTCCCCCGCCCCATCCAGCCTCGACGCCCCAAATTTCCTGGGAAGACGATGCGATGTTTTCAATGTGCGGCCAGGATGTCCCAACCCATGCTGGGGTACAATCTCTTGCCCCCGATTCACGTTTGATAGCCAGGGGACCAACTATGGGCCCTGGCCAGAGGCAGCAATCGAAGCACAACATGTCGTGGGAGATCTGTACCTCCACCCCGTCATGGGAACAAACCTCTCGGAAGTCCGCGCAGGTGTCTTGTGTGGACGCCCGAATTTTTTACAGAAGAAATGGGCACGATGCCCAACAACCAGTGCTGTCAAAAAGCGACAGCGACCTCCGTTGGGCACGCGGCCTCCTGTCTCAAATGGACACCGTCCGCGGCGACGCCGACAACTAGACCTGTTCAAAATGAACAGAACATGCTTTCGGTCTTTGTGGTGCCCATTCTTTCCGTCCCCCTTTCGATCGTCCCGATCTTGGATCGGCGCTGGACCTCCCTCCCCGGAGCGCGCCGCGCGCCGGGGGCGGCTCCAGAGGCGCCGCCAGGGGCCTCAGCGTCGATCCAATAAGCCCGCGCGGACCTCAGAGAAACTTGGGGATACCAAGAAAGACAGATACCGCTGCTCCCGAGGCCTCTCCCCGGGTGCGTTCTGGCCAGAATTCCGGCACGAACCCAGATGTGGCGACGAGGGCCTCCCAGGAGGCAACAACAAGGCCAAAACGAGGGAAGGGGAGCGGTATGTGTACCTTCTTCCTCCTCTGAGAAAGTATGTCATGTTGTCTGTTGCTATCGACCCCCCCCCCCCCTCGAGCCTTCAGGAAGGAGACGTCTCGCCCCCCGCGGAGGTAGACCAGCCAGGCGGCCCAGGCGGCCAGCGGAGGCTTCGTGTTGCCCCACGCCTGCCCGCCCTCGGGCGGCAAGTTCGCCTGGCCCGGGCGGCGTTCCCGCGGGAGCGGGCGTTGGAGACTGCATGGGCCCCAGGACACCAAGCCCGTGCAAACGGGGCGTGAGTAAACGGGGCGGTAGCGAGGGGGCCTTTTCACGCGAGAACGGGGCGACGGGGCATTTGCCTCGCCCTAGTGCGCCCTAGTGCGTGATGAATCGGGGAGACATCAATGTCGACACATCATCATAACTCTTGGCGGGGGGGGGGACCTCGCACTTGCGCGCGGCAGATCAGTTTTCTGAAAACACCACTGAAAACGCACCATCAGCTACGGGCCCGTTGACTAACGCACTTTTTCAGGGGCTTAGGGATACACAAACGAGTGGACACACATCCCAGGACTCTCTGTCTCTGTGAATATTTGGTGGCCGCGTCTTCCCCTCCATCGGCCATCTTTTTCCATCTCCTCGTGGAAACCCACGGTTCTTTGTGTCTGGGCCGATTCTCCCCTCCCGAGTAACGGAGGGCGGCGGTAAATTCGAGAAACTGAGACATCAGCGGCCGGCGAGATAGGCAGGCTCGTGTCGTGCCGACTCGGACGTTGGTTTCTGACACCGCGGAGATCTTTCAACCTTGAACGATCGGCCGTTTCCGAAAAGGCAGACCGTTCACCATCGATCGGTTCTTGGCCGCTGGCGGCGTTCAACGTTGAACGCCGGCGGCGGTGTCGCCGCCGGTCGACACTACGCCACGGATGAGCGGGTGGAAGATTGGCCGAGAAAGTGAGCGATCATGGTATGGAAGACGAAGACGAAACATAACTACGGCATACACGAACATGTGTGAAGATCCGCACGGATCTCTTGAGTCTGCTCTGCCCCCTCCTACCCCCCTGGCGCGCGGGGTGTCCGCACGTGCCTCTGAAGTTTCACGATTCGATGTGATTCCCCAAACAGGGCCTGCACTTGGGGATTCTTGCTTCTCTTCTGCGGGACTGGGGCTGGGTGGCGGTCTGGCGGCTCCGTGCTCGCCGTCGCCTGTCCGTCGCCACCTCGTCGCCGCCCGTCGTCAAGGCCTGGGTGGCGGTCTGGCGGCTCCGTGCTCGCCGTCGCCGCCCCGTCGCCAGCTAGATTGAACAACGCAGACTGCACCACATAGATTGCACAACGTAAATGTTCCACTCTAATGCGAAATTCGGATCTATCACCCACTGCTGGTCTTCGCAGTTCACCCTGGGATGGAACATGATAAATATGATGCTGGCCAATCGTTCGTATTACATACGAACTCAAAACATCCCATGGAATGCCCTTATCGACCCCCTCGTCCCTGATAACAAAACTATGCATGCGCACTCGTTTATAACAGTTCAACCATTTCCCAACAACAACCAATACAACAATCAAACAAACTAAACGCGCGCGTGGCGTCGCGCGCGCAAGCCGAACTGCATCCAAGACTCCGGTCTTCGTATGGATTTCGAGATCGACGTTCCCGAACAAAAAACTGAACACAACATAGCCTGACGAGAACCCAACGGGATGGAGCTGCGTGTACCGCGAGGGACATGACACGAAGGGGGGGAGCACCCCCGAATAACACACGCGGTATAGTTTTTGTTCTCATGGGCAGCGCGGGGAATCGGGTGACTGGGTGCGTCGACATGAGACCGGCGGACTCATGTGAACTTCGCCATTGGGGCCTTTGGGTAGGGCTCCCTATGAGCCCACAGGGCGCTGTACTTGGGCGGGGTGGAAGCATGCGAACGTCGCCACTGGGGCTTTCGGTGGAGCTCCATCCTGGAGCCACGAAGCTTTGTACTGGATGGGGCGGACACATGCGGACGTCGCCACGGGGGCCTTCGGTGGAGCTCCCTATGGGGCCAGGAAGCGTTGCACTGGTAAGGCGGACGCGCGCGAACGTCGCAATTTGGTCCTTCGGTGGGGCTTCCTATGCGGCCACGAAGCTCTGCACGGGGTGGGGCGGCCGCACGCGGATATCGCCAGTGGGGCCTTCGGTGGACGACCCTGTGGTCCCACGAAGCGTGTGAGGTGTGTGCTGAACTGGTTGGCGTGCGGGGAGCACACACGCGCAGGGAACAACGGAGGAGGACGAAGAGGAGAAGGGGGAGGTGGAGGGAAGGGAAGGGAGAAGCGGGGCGTTTTTTGGTGGAAAAGGAATCGTGTTGCAACATAGTTGTGCGATGTAAGAACGCACGTGCTCTTCCGACGCCGTGCGAAAACCATGAGTCTCCAAGGATGTGCATGACATGCGAACCAATCGGCCTCTCGCGCGCGCGTGCCGAAATCAGTCGAACGCGCCTGCGCGAATGCTGGGGGAAAAGGGGGCCACAACCCCTGTCGAATGATACCATGCGGGCCACTCGCGCATGTCGAAATCATTCCAACAGCTTTCGTCACCGACGCGTGGACACCATCACCGTCACCCGCGTGATCATCATCGGCGCCGTCATTGGCCTCGCCGTCGTCAGCGTCATCGTCGGCACCAACATCGCTACAATCATCATCGGGTCTGCCTCTGCCGACGTCGGCACGGCACTGCGCCCGCCCGAATCACCGACTCGCACTGGAGCGCCCGCGCTCCAGCGCGGCCACCGAGACGAGCTGTGATGTCTCCAGCGGACAGTGCCACCGCGGCCGCGCCGGCCGCGAAAGACTGGCTAGCCGCTGTGCGCGCAGGTCTGCGCGCTAGAGCGGCCGCAGCGAAGCGTCAGGCAGCGCGAAACAGTCATCGCAATCGCCGCCGCATGGGTTCCACAATTTGCAAACACAATTACGGGGAGAAAGATTAACAACCCACTGCGAATAACAATTCATTCTCTTCCCCGGAAAAAGTTACGATCTACGCCCCCCCCTCCCATGATTATCCGCCCACCTGGGGATTTGCAAATTACGTATGAACCTACCCCATCGTTCATGAGTTATGAACTCATACCGTCCCACTTAGGCACCCTCCGCCCCCCATCCCTGGCAACAAAATTAAAATGCGTGCGCACTTTCTTCAATTTTAGGAATATATTATATATATATTCAAATACCTCTCGCAAGCGAACGAAACAAAAGGCACGCTTGCGAGCGCGCATGTCGAAATCATTCGAACGCTCTTTTGCGCATGCTGTCGCAATGAGTGCACGCGCGCGCATCGTCTTGCGCGCGTGCCGAAATCCTTGAAAACCTCGAATGTGTCGCACAAAATTCAAAATTGAGCGTCACGACAGAATTATCCAGGCGAAGAATTACACCATCTGCAGTTGATGATACCGCGTGTGGGGTACAGCTGTCGGTGGAAATCGTGATGTGGCCACGAACCGTGTGAGGAAGGTGCCGTAATGGATGGGGGCGACGCGTGCCGCCGCGGTCACTGGGGGCATCGATGAAGCGCCCCCTATGGGGCCACGAAGCGCTGTTTCGGGCGGGGGAGATGCATGCGGCCGCGGCCACTGACGTCTTCGCTGGGGCTCCCTCTGGGACCACGGAACAGAATACTGGTTGTGGAGGGTGCATGCGGCTGCCGCCACTGGGGCCTTCGGCGGAGCTACTTACGGGGCCACGAAGCGTTGCACTGGGTGTGGGAAACGCATGCGGCCGCGGCCTCTGGGGCTCGCGGTGGTGCTTCCAAGGGGGCCATGACACGGTATGGGAACGTCGCCATTGGGGCCTTCGGTGGAACTCCCTATGGGGCCATTGCTTCCCGAGGCCCGGTAAGGGCCCCTCAACGCCCCAAATAGCAAAACAGTCTTCACGACGAGAGGGGAGAGCATGCGAGGCATGAACCGAAATCGATGATAATATGAACGGCGAGGATGTGATTGGAACATGTCGCGGGCGGCTAGTCTGGAGGTGGGCCTGGACGTCGCGACGGATGGCCAATTATGCTTTATCCAGCGCTTCAGCCGTCAACTCCATATCATTGACAAGATTTGGCCGTCCCCTCTCTTGGTGAAAAAGTTTGGCCGTCAATTCTCCGAGTTGACGAACCCACGGCGACGGCCCTCTTCCGAGCTGACGAACCCCCCCTGACGGTCTCCTTCCGAGTTGACGAACACCCTTGGCGGCTCCCTTGAAAACTGACGAACTCCATGGACGAGTCCACATTGACGGCCTACCTCTTGGGTGATGAACCCCAGCGACGGCCTCCCTCCGAATTAACGAACCCCCATTGACCCCCCCCCCGCCGCACCCTCCGTCTTCACGAACAAAGCGTCGGGGCCGAGTTGACGGCTGCTCTCGTCTTGATGAACGAAGTGCTGGAGCTGAATTGACGATTGCTTTCGTCTTAGCGGACGTAGTCTTGGGGCCGAGCTGACGTCAGAAGTCTCCGGGCCGAGTTGACGATCGTTGTGGGCCCTTCTCCAGACGTGCGCCGTCTCAGCCACTGGGCCGGGCTCGAGCTGTGATGCCTCGCTTGACCTCGAGCCGGCTCTGATGCCCTCTCCTCTCCTGCCCGCCCCAGGCCGCCTTCTGGGACGTCGCATCCCCCTGTGATGGTGGGTTCCCAAAGGTGCCCTCTGGCCAGAAGGGGAGTGCGGCCGCCGCCAGTGCGGTCGCGGCCAGCGGCTCGCCGTGGGGGGGTCGGGGGCCCGCTGGCCTCCGCGCGCAGGCTCGTGCCAGCTCGCGGAGGCGCAGCGACGTGGGCGCTCCTCCCCGGGGTGGCAGGCAGCAGCAGCCAGCACAGAACCGATCCCTGTCCAGAAGATTGGCATCCCAGAAGGCGATGGCAATCCCAGGGATGCGCCCTCAGAACCGGAGGGAAGACGTAGGATTGGCCTCGGGATGAGGTAGAGCCAGTCGTAGGGACAGGGCTATGCTCCAGGCAGGCAGAGCGGCGCCGCAGCTGCAGTGGCTGGTCGCGCCTGCGCTCCGCGCAGCCGGCGTGCTACCGGAAAGGGCGCTGCATCGGAGATGTGAGGGGTGTCGAGGTCACGGCGACCCTCGGCCCCGAAGGGCTTCCCCGGCACAGGCCTAAGGAACGGCACGAACACCGGAGGCCCTCCCGACCCCAAGGCGCTCCGCATCGCAGGGCAGCGGCTGTGTCGCAACAGGGAGGCCTGTCTGAAGAGCTCCCGAGGCACCAGGCTACGATTCAGTCGGGCCTGTCCCCCTACAGGCGGATTTTGGACGAAAAATAAAAATACCCTGAAATTCACCAAAATTCATAAAAATTGTCAAACAATCGTCCCCTGACTATTGTTGACTATTTTGGAATATTCCTCCTGTACAGGGATAAGCCCGCCTTCAGACTACGACCGATGCACCCCCAAGGGGACATCGCCCCACGGCGCGGCCGACCTCGCCTTGGCAGCTGCCTGTAAGAGGGCGAAAAGCAACATGCAAAAGACGCTACGCAGATCCGCGGACACACCACAGGCTGTCTTATTTCGACAGCGACCGACCCACTCGCCACACCCTCGGTGGATTGAAGACTTGGACTCACGACTTGCATCGGGAACCCACCTTCTTTTCCATAGTTGGGCCAAATGCTATTTCGGATTTGATACCCCCCAAGAGCAACCTATGAGAGGACACGACTATAAATGCATGCGCGAAGCGCGAGATGGAGGGTGAGAGAATTCCAATCAACTCAGCACCACCAGCCCTGACCAAGCCCATCCTGGGCCCTGGACTGGTGTACAGGCCCTCCTGGCCTCGGTCTGGAAGTCTTTACACCAGTCTAGGGCCCAGAAGTGGCGTGGCCAAGGCTGGTGGAGCTGTGTTGGCGTCCCCCCGATCGGAGGCCAAAGCGCCGGGCGAAACTGAACTGTACCGACACGTCCCCTGGCGCGTCCCTTGACGGGTGCCCTGCCCCCTGCCCGGACACGCATCCCCTAGACCCATTCCCCGACCCGTCCTCTGGGACGCCGGAGTCTGTCAAGATACCCGTTGGCCGGAAGAACTACATCGAAACATGAAGTAGGACGGCGATGGAAATAGGTTGGATATCCACTCGTCCCCTGAAGAGGAGGGAAGAGGTACAACCGCTCGACCCTTGAAGTAGCACGGTGCCTGAAGTTGATTGGGACCTCGGCGTCCAACGATGCCCACTTTCAACGACCGACGTGTAAGAATAACAAAACGGGACAACATAACTTGCCCAAGCCTGTCAGTAAAGGAGCAACAGGAAGGGAACCATACGAGCGATCAAACATGACCGTTGCTCCACGCACCCTTCGGGGTGCGTTCTGACCAAGATGTCTGAGCAAGTCCAGCGGTGGCGACGACGGCCTCCCGGGAGGCCCACAACCGCGAGGACGAGACAAGGGCAGCGGTACCCTCCCCTCCTCCTAGATGCAGCGACAAGTCTGTACAACACACGCGCCCCAACCACTGAACTCCTCGAGCGCCGACACGAACCAGTAGACTGCCGATGCCCCCCCTCCGCCTCTGACTGTCGATGCCGACAACGATCACACTCTGGACAGGCAGGCGGCCACGGCAAGGTCAGGACCGCGCAGCTACACTGCGAGCCTCGGTCGAGCCCCCACCCCGCCCGCGCTCACCCCTCGGGAGGCTTGACGCGCACGCGCGCCAGGAAGGCGCGCGTGCGCAGGTTGGCCACCGCCGCGTAACCGACGTCGCGCAGCCTCGCCACGGCCTCGCCCGCCTCCTCTTGGGTCGGAGGACGGGCACCGGTGCCGCTACTCCCCAGACCTCTCCTGCTGCATCCCAGCCAGGACTTCGAGGAGGATCACGCTGTAGCGACGAGGCCCTCCCAGGAGGTCCACAAAAGCCAAAAGGAGTGAGTGGTAGCGGTATGGCTCTAAAACGATTTTTTTGATGTTTTGCAGCAAGTCCCGCCGGCGGCCCCACATTCCCCCTTCCCCCCCCTGGTCACGTTCCGACTCGCGCTGGCACCGTCTGGGAATGAACCATTCTTAGGCAGTCCCTGACGGCGCCGGCGCGAATCGTAACGGGCCCCTTCCTCCCTTCCCACCCGGTCACGCTCGCCAGGGGTAAAACAAATGGTCTCATACTTGTTCTGGGGACGGAAAGATAACGGGGATCATGACCAAGACTGAACGCGGACAAGTCGTGTCGACCTCGGTCTGCGTCCATCTAGGTCAGCATCAACTCGTGGATCATCTTCGCGAATCGACGACGGCCACAATGGACCATGACCAAGATCGGAACTGACGAAATCCCACGATATGTTGGTCATGGTCTATGTGACTCCTCTCTCGAGCTATCGCCACGGGATTCACAAGAAACGGTCCCCTACCTCTGGACCAGAAAACAAACGACACCACCCCGTTTAGGGCCCCAGGGGACTTAGTGTATCCCAGGGAACCTGGCGTGGGCTTTCGCATGGTATGCACTGCGGCCCCCGATGGGCCGTAGGGCCGGAGCGCAACATGGGGGGCCGTAGGTTTTGAGCAGGGGCCGACAGACCTGGCATTCCTAAAGGCCTGCCACAGAATGTTCGTAAAACCACGAAATGTTATAAGAACATAACCAATGTTTTTAGAACATAAACCCGATGAGTTGAAACAAGACAGTCTCAGCCAGAAATGTTCCAAGAAACCTTCGTGCAGACCACACATGGTTCTTAGAACATTCTTCGGTGGGCCCATAGGCGAGCCAGGACGCTTCGCCACTGCTTGAAGGTCGGGTGGTGCTGGTCGTTTTCTAGTCGAACCTTGCCCTCCTTCGAGCCTCGCCCGTGCTGCCCACCACAGCCAGTGGCCGCCCCGCCCTGCCGTCGGCCAGCGCCTGACGGCCCCACTCGCGCACCCGCTCCAGCGGCACGTGCAGCTCCTCCGGCGGCGGGGCGGCGCCGTCCGCGCCGCCGCGCCGCCCCCGCGCGGCAGCCCCGGCCGGCGGCCCGACGTCGAGGATCGCCAGCCCCGGCTGCTCCAGGAAGCGGCGCACGGCGGCCAGCCACACCGGCTCCTCGCCGAACGCCCACTCGGGCACCTCCTCCTCGTCGCTCGGCTCAGCCGCCGCTTTGCCCATGGCCGGGGGGGGCAGGAGATGGCTCCGACCATGCCGCTGCTCCGTGGTGGGACTGCAGGGCGAACCCGACACGTCGAGCAGCTGCTCATGGGAGCCTTGGCGTTACGCTTAGGCGTCTGCGTTCGTTCCGCGCCTGACGCTGCTTGCTTACCTCCCTGTGCCGCGCCTGACGCAGCTTGCTTACTCAACTATGGCCCACGCACGACGCGCGGCGCCATGGGCCTGGCGGCATCAGAGCACAACGGCCGCGGGGGCACGAAAGCGACGCGGAAGTGCCACGGACCGCGTAAAGAGGAAAAGTATAACGTGACACGAAGGCTCACACGAACGGCTACACAAGAAACGTGGCGGCTGAGGCCCTACCACCAGGAGGCCCACCACCCGATGCGCACTCCCCTCGCGCGCATCGTTCCCGCAGGAAGCTCTCACCTGCGACCTCCGTGGGCGCGCGCGACCGCCTTCGGGAGGGCCGCCGTGCCCGTCTCGGCATACCCCTCGCGCAAAATGTGCACCGTCCGTCGAGGCCCAAACGGCGATCCACGAGGGAAGTGAACTGGACCGGGGAGGGCACATGGACAAGGAACCCTAATCCAGGGTCTGGAAACTGGTGCAATTCCAATCGTGGATCGACCATGGACATCACCGCCGCCCTCAGCAGGTAAGGAACCCTCCAGGGTCTGAAGCCTCCTGGGCACATTCCTTAACGAACTGACCGCCCCCACTGTAGGTGTCGGCACGCTCGTCACTTCTGAGCCTCCCTGCCAACATCTGCGCATGACCCAGACCCCCTGGGTGTCGTGGAAACGTTGCAGCTGGAAACTGTTGACAATTCTCGACCCCCCGGGACCGTAATCGGGCCCTGGGACGGCTAACATTGCGGATGCCACGTCAATGGACACCCTAGCAGTCCTAGCATCGAATTAAAGATGTGCTGAACATGTGTAAAGCATGTTCTAAACATGTGTCAGCCATGTTTTAACCTGTTGAAAAACATGTTTGAAGCATGTTTTAGACATCTGGAAATTATTTGGCAGCATGCTTCCTCTCCATGAATCGGCTTCCACAAGGCGAACAAGAACGACTCAGAATGCAGAACGGTCCCGATAAGTGGGTCTGAGGGGCAACGATACGGGGGGGGCGGCCCCGAGGGGGAAGCATCGACCTGGAATCGGCGATGCATCGCCGATGGATCGGCGATGGACCCCCGATAGCGAATCCGCACATTCATGAGCCCGTTGGGTCATCGGGCCCCTCCCGGCGGTCGATGGGCGACGGGGGGTCGATGCGTCCCCCCAGAGCTGATCCCCCCCTGCTGTAGCGCCTGAGGGTCGAGGCCTCTGAAGTCCACTTGTCCGCAACCGCGCTTGCAGCGGTTGGTGTGCGTCGGGCCTTTGCGAAGCAATCATGAGGGCCTCCCGACGCAGCGAGCCCAAGATGCGCTCGTTCTTGTGACTAAGCCCCTGCGTTTCTGGCCTTCCCAGCAGAAGCTGGTCCTAAACACGATAGATTTGGGGGAAAAGAGGTTCCGTGGTTGTGACTAAGCCCCTGCGTTTCTGACCTTCCCAGCAGAAGCTGGTCCTAAACACGATAGATTTGGGGGAAAAGAGGTTCCGTGGACCCTGCCGCCTCCTCCACCGCCAGCCCTGACCTTCCAGAGTGTTCAAAAAAAGCTCTCCAGACCTGTGGACCTACCTGGGCTGCCTAAAGCCTCGACAGGTATTTAGACGTCAGTGTCCTGATGCTGAATCTTTGGCCCGCCTGGGAAGGTCAGGGAAGGCCCCCCCAACATCGCCCGCCTGAGCGCGGTGGCGAAATCGCGCGGCAGCGCAAGCGGGATCTCAAGGATCACGGCGCCAGGGGGTCCGGGAGTGGGTCCGACTCCCAGGGCCCGCCCTGGCCGTCTCGCCTCGCCCCGTGGCGGCTGCACGACGGCCCCGCGGGCGCGAGAGCGGCGCCTCGAGCCTCGACCATCGGCTGACCCCCCATTCCATCAGGGGACTTTTAGCAACCAGGGATTTGGCGCGCCCGAGGAAACTGCAGATGTGTGTCGACACACTTTCCACAACCAGCCTCGACTTTATCCCTTATCCCTAAAATCGGCATGCCCAAGGCGATGGCAATCTTATGGGTGTGCCCTCAGAAACTGAGAGACGGCTGAACAGATCGGCACCGAGGTAACGTGATGCAAAACAGAGGGATAGGAAAATGCTTCAAGCTGGTCATGCATCAAAGTCTGAATTAGCAATGCTCTGCGACGGATGAAGCCGCGAAGCTGCAGGCCACGACGGCGGCCCTGGTATCGCGGCCCCTATGCCTTCCTCCCAAGACCCCTGACGTCGTGACTTCTTTTGCAACGTGGGCCCCCAGAGATTTCGCCCAATTCCCTGAGACTGCCTTCTTGTCCTATGCCGTTTTCTGACGGCCCCGGGGCCTGGGGGAGGCCGGAGGCCCCTGCGGGGGGCTGAGAATTGACGCGACGCGGTCTGGGTCCACCTCTTCCTCCCCTCCGCATCAGCATCAGCATCCGCGATACATCGCCGCCGGCGGTGTGGAGAACATCGAGCTCCACATGTGACGCGATCCTCCGACCCCATCATCTCCAGCCTCGCTTGAGAGACGAAAAGAAACGCGTCCCACGCGAGAAGACGTTGCGACCGTACGCCACGGCTTACGTAGGCCGCCACCGCGGCGCATACGCGCATACGCAGGCCGCCACGCGCGAATGTCGGCGCAACCGACCCCGTTTTCTTCCGTCGCTCACTTGGAAACTGAGCTGCCCCGACACGCAACACGCAACACGCATCGTATTGATACGGAGCTCCGCACGTAGACTGAACACGTAGGTATGATGCGTTTCGTTCACCGAAACGCGGGCCAATACGCTGAGCCAACACGCAACGTATGGACACGGAACGTTTAACCACTGTACACGTTGCGAATCAAAACGGGCGCATAGAGGCAGCTAAGCTGGGGAGGCCTAGAATGTCCCCCTCCCCGACGCATCGGCATTTGCGACACCGCTACTCCCCCGATCTACCCAGAGGTGATCAGACCAAGGTCTCGAGGCGAATCCTTTCCCTCAGCTTCCGCCTTCTTGGGCCTCCTAGGATGGCCTCGTCGCATCAAAACTATGCGGTCTCAACAAGACATGTTCTAAAAACATGTCGTGCACACCGCCAAAGGTTCTTAGGACATTATTTGGTGGCCCTATAGGCAAGCCACGATGCCTCGCCACTGCTTGGCTCACCAGAGCCGGCACTCCATCTCGAGATGCTTTGTTGACGGTCCCCGGGGCGCGTGAGACCCTGCAGGCTGTGAAGACGGCCAGAACCCTCCCGTCGTGATTGTTCTTTCCCAGCGTGAGGCTGTCCGGGTCGGCATGCCCTCCCCCCCCCCCGCAGTCGGTGGTTCAGAGGTGAGGTCCTGAGGCATGGGGCCCTGAGGATAGGATCGTATCCAAAGGTGGATTTATACATTGTTTGCGGCATCCGGTCGCTAGGACCCCATCCCTCAGGACCACCACCGCGACGACGGACATCTCGATGGCCCACGACGATGACCACGACGACGCGACGACGACGACGCCCACCACTACGACGACCACACCGAGAACGACCACGACAACGACGACAGCGAGGGCGGCGACCACCTCGACGACGACCACGACGACGACGACGACCACGACGACCACGACGACCACGACGACCAAGACGAGAACGACCACGACCACGCCCACGACGACGACCACGACCACGACCACGACCACGACGACGACGACGACGACGACGACGACGACGACGACGACGACGACGACGACGACGAGCGACGCCGACGAGCGACGCCGACGTCGCCGTGAACCACCGACGCATGGCGCCGGCCCTCGCCGGCGGCCGGCGTGCGCCCGGCGGGCGGTGCCGCGGAGGCCTCGCGGCGACGGCCCCCCGCGCGAAGGGCGGCGCGAGCGGGCCGGCCGCGGGCGCCACGGCCGCGGGCCGGCCGCAGGCCAGGGGCGAGGCGCGGTGCTGCGCCCGCGCGCGCGGGAGGGCCCGCCCGCCGCCCAGGGCGCTTCTCTGCCGAGCGGCCGGACTCCGAGCACGCGTCCCTCGAGGAGAGCCTGGCGCCGCAGGCCGCTCGCAGCGGGCACGGTCGCAGAGTGTCGGGCCCCCGGGGGGGCCCTCGTGGCTCGATCGGGCCCGGAGAGCGACGCAGGGAGGTGGGGCCCAGGGCTGCGGTCGGGTTTTTTTCTGCGATGTCGCATGTTTGCTGCAACGTCGGATCTCAGGCCCCCCCGACATGGTCGGCTGGTTGGGGGTCGGCAGGTGGATTGGGATCTGTTGCATCTGTCTCGGCACCAGGGCCGGATGAGCACATGCAGTCATCCATCGGCGTGGGGCTCGAACCCGCGCAGGGAACAAGGGTACAGAGCAGCGTGACCCAGAGCGCTGCCCGAGGTGACGAAAATCATCGCTGTGCGCGCGTTGCCATATTCCAGTTGCCCCCCCCACACCATCGCGTCGTCCAGAAGAATCACGCAGGGAGGCTTTTGGCCGCTGTCGGCCTCTGTAAAAGGGGGACCCTGACCAGGCCCTGGGGGCAGTCAAAAAGGTGGCTCGCGGGATTGCAAGGCGGCTCTGGGGAAGGGCGGCATCGGTATCTGTCTGTCCCCCAGGATGCCCGTGCGTCGGGGAGGAAGAGGCCCGGGCCCCCTCCGCATCGTGACAAACATCGCGGGGCGGGGGTTGACAATTTTCAGCCCGGGGCCCTGGGGCAGAGAAACAACTACTCAGGATGGAAATGCGGTCCCCGGGAAGGGGTCCTGACCTCTGGGGGTTTACGCTGTTAAAAAACATTTGACGCCGGATATTGTGGGCAGGGCCCCAAGGAGGCGGTGAGCGTGGACATCTTCGGGCCCACGAGGGGAAGCTCAACGCCGTACGGCTGGCTCGTGTCAGGAAAACCCTGGCGTTGGTTTCTGACACCGGGTGGGGCGTGGAACCTTGAACGATCCGCGGCGTTTCAATCGGCGGATCGCTCCATGTGAGTGATTTTTTAGGCGCTGGAGTCGCTGATACAAATCCACCCTAAGGTTGCCCCCTGGTTCTCGGGTCATACCTCGGCTCTCCAGTGGCCGTTCAGGAAGAACTGTGCACCCCCAGAGCGCCCTCGGCGAGGCGCAGCTGCTGCAGAGCACCCCGAGGCTGGAAAACTGCCGAGGAGCGACTAGAGCGTCAGAGAAGACCTGGCCTCACACATCCGCCCTGAGCCAGCCGTACCCACTGCCTCCTAGGGTCCTGGGGCAACGGTTCCCCAGGCGGAGGACGTGTGCACAGATTCCGGCCTCGGATCTCAGCAGCTGCATCTGCCTCGCGGCTGATGGCTCCCTGCGGCGTGCCGAGGGGGCTGGGGGCTGGGGTGAGGGTGGCGGCCTTCGAAGAAGGCACGGGGCTTCTCAGAAGGGATCGAAAGATTCGGAGACGGCTTCTTACAAAACATGGGGGCTTCCAGAAAGCCCCGCTGCCTTCTTAGAACGCAGCCCCCAAGCCACTCCACTCCACCCCCCTTCTGCGGTTCGCCGAGACACGCCAGGTACACCAAAGTCCTTGCCAGCGGTTGTGATTCGCCGCCTTCGAGCCGAAATTGCTACGGGTGGCGAGCACGGCGGTTCGATGGTCGAAGCAAGATCAGATGAAGGAACATTTGGCCCACGGACAGGGCGTCCCTCTTCAATTATGAGCACATGTTCCTGTTTCTCCTCGTCGTCCTCCCCCTCCTCCTACTTGCCGCTCTCTGCGGCCAGCCTTGTCCGGGACCATACCCTCTTTGCCGCCGCTGGTCCCCTGGAAGTCGAACATCACCCGCAGCTGGGACTTGGCCAGCTCCAGGTCAAACATTGATAGGGCGGCTGCGTGTTTCCTGTGGGGCCTCCTCGTCCACCTCGTCCTGTCCCTCCTCAACTCCCCGGATCCTGCTGGGGCATCCTGGGGCTTCCTGGGACCCCATTGGGCACCCAGGGGCTTCCTGGGGTCGCCTCGTCTCCTCCTCCTCCTCCTCTGACTCCTCCTCCTCTCCCTCCTCCTCCTCCTCCTCCTTTTCCTCTTCCCCCCCACCCTGTTTCCTCGTCCAGCTTCTCATGCAGCAGCACTGGGCCAATCACACAGCAGCTGCTCTGAAATCGGGCGGACCACCTCGTTCTTTGGGCGGGGATATCTTGCCCTCACCTCGTCTTGGGGGGGGGGCCTTGCCTTAGTCCGTTTGCGAGTGGCCAACCCGTTATTCCTCCAATAGATTAGACGTGTTTGATCCTGGGCCATCAGAGAACGATCTTGCACAAACAAATAGATCAGTCGAATGGGCCGGTAAACCCAGAGCCCGCGGATTGTCAACAAAAAGCTGCCACCAAAAACTTCCAAGCGCCGCGACCATGTGGGAACGGAGCTCGCAGGGGAGCTCCGCGCGGCGCTCTGGGCGAGAGCGACACTTCGATCCCTCGGGCGCGGACGCGCTTACGACGATTTAGCGGAAGCGCATGGGGCGGGAACCAAAGTTCAGGGAGAGTCGGCGTGGCGCTGGGGCGGGAAAACCATCTTGCCCTTTCGCGCGCACTGTGCGCAAGGGACCCCTCCCGCAACGCAATCAGCCACGTCGACGAAGGCGGTCAGTGGTATATGAGGCAACATTTTGTCAGCGATTCTCAAAATAGGCTTGCCCTATGGGAGTCCTAGCTCAAACCCTACTAATTGGTCCGTTGCTCCCCCTAATTCCTATGCCCCCCCTAATTCCTATGGCTATGCCTATGCCTATGCCTATTTCCCAACTCCTATGCCTACGCCTCTGCCTCTGCCAACTTGCTTGTTTGCTTGTTTGCTTGTTTGCTTGCTTGCTTGCGCGCTTGCTTGATTGCTGAGTTGCGGACTCCAAGCATGCTTGATTCCTCTGATTTCTTGATTTGAGTCGTCTACTCTATTTGGAGTCAACGCTGGCTGATATCCTTCTATTTGATGGCTACGAGGTGACTTGGCCAACACTGGTATACTTGTTGGGTCCAGCCCCCCCCCTCCCTCTTGCCGTCCAATCGCCGTCCAATCAGATAAGATAAACGAAATCGCCACTTCGAGCGAGCACATTCCATGGCACCTGCACTCCCCCAGGCCCAGATCCCTGTGGTAGCGCAGCTAGATACTGAACGGTAGCAAATGATAATGTTAAAACACATGCATGTGCTCAGAAGGAATAGTTGTTGTTTGACATCCATCGTCAAGGGCCCATACAATCATATTGGGCAAGAGAATAGAGCTCGAGAGAAACGCCGACATTCTTCAGGTGTAGTCCTGTCCATAGCCTCCTCCAAAACTTGCACACGCTTAAAAGAAAATAAACAACTGTCAAGAGAAGGGAGCCACCCGTAAACTCCGGACACCCACAAGCGACTCCGTGGCAAAGACCTCAAGGGGCGTCGGCCCTCAGCCAGACCATGGAGTCACCAGAGCATCTGTGCTCGAACGGGGCCCGCGAGGGCACGGCGGTTGCGGGTAGAGTCACCGCGCTACCAGCAGAAGCGCACAATCAGGCACAATGGGGCTTTTGTGGCCATGGCGGCCTAGGCCACAAACAGGCTCTCGCCATCGCTCGGACGTCCATTCCCCGTGCATTTCTCGATTTCGTGCGTGTGCTTTTCTGTAGATGATTAAGAATGCTCCTCGATGGTCGTCGCCAAGAAAAAACGCACACGTCCGAGCGATGCCACCCCGATAATAACCACCCCGATACGCAAAGCCGATCAGTAAACGCACCCAAAGAAGGAGTCAAACAGGGCAGGGCTGTTTAGTGAACGCCCAGGGCCGGCTAATAACCGCCAATTGTCGGGTGGGTTTCCCTTCCCTGACTGACGGGTCCCGATGGCGACGGGCCCCTGCAAAGACCAAAAGGGGGGTGGAGCCAGAGCCTGCCTCTCCACACAGGGCCACCCATCGACAGCCCTCGGAAGGCCGAGGCATTTCCAGAAAGAATCATGACCCATTTCCTCGTGACCACGCTGGCTCGCGGCGATTTGTGTGTATACAAATATATACACAAATAGATGTGTACACTCACATCGAGCAAGATATACATATATACATATATGTATGGAAATATGTGTATAGCAGCGGGAAGGGGGCAAACTGTTAAATTCAATCCCTGGGTGCGTGGGTGAAGTGGGGGTCCGTGGCCCAGATGATGGTTTGTGTTAAAATGTGAATGTATGTTGTTGGTATGCTGCTGCTGTTGTCGTTGTGGTTGTTGTTGTGGTTGTTACTGTTGCTGATGTTGTTGAAATCTCGTTTCTGAGAATTGAATATTGTTGACCCCACCTTTCCAGCAGACTTTGCATTTTTCATGTTGAAATGCCCCTCTGGGGTCTCGCGCTCCGTTTGTTTTTCTCTCAGGGGAAATCTAGGAGGTCAAACTGGCCCCCTGGCCCTCGAGCTACAACAGCAACGGCTCCCGCCTCGAACTCTCGCGTGGACCGTCCTCATCAATTATACCGGAATCGCGCTCTGGCAAGGAAACTCCTTGCAATTTGATCAAACGCCGCGCCCTCGACGCTCAGCAATCGCGCTCTCGCTCTGGCCTTTCTTACAATTTAATGGGGAACCGCGCTATCGCTCGAGACGTCCTCGCGAATCATGCAACAAACACGCTTCAACAACCCGTTTTCTCCACCTGGCCGCCTGGGGCCCGACCCTCCCGTTATTGTAGGGCCTACCAGCCGTGGGGAACGACCCGCCCGATCAGCCCGTTTGGTTCTGCCACGGGTTTCTCGTCCTGGCCCCCGCGTCCTGCTAATCTGTCTGGCTCGTGCTCCATACTTCTCCCTCCCCCTTCCATCCGTCCTCACATCCCCTGTTTTCGCGGCTGCCCGAAATGCGCGTGGCAGGCAAGGAAGATGTACCCCGAAGAAGGTACGGTCGAAAACGAAGAGGGCGGGAACCAATGGTTTGGGATATACGCGCTTGGTGGCACGCGTGCAGGTAAGACCGAACAGTTGTCGAATAGTTGTTCTTGTTGAACTCTCACTACTGAAAAATTATTATGGTTGATCCCCCCTCCAGTGCACATTGTATTTTTTCAATTGGACTGCCCCTCCCGGCGCTTGCACTCTGTCTTTTATCAGGGAAATCTTCCTCCTCACACTGTGCCCCTGGCCCTCGGTTTACAACAAGAACGGCTCCCGATTGATACTTCCTCAAATTTACTCCGGTCCCCCGCTCCCGCTTGAGACTTCCTCGCAATGTACGAAAGAATCGCGCTCCCGCCTGAGACTTCCCCGCACTTTACTCAGGCGCCGCGCACTTGCCATTCAGGAATCGCGCGTTCGCAGGGGACTTCTTCAAATTTACTGAAGAATCGTTCTCTCGCTGGAAACGTCCTGGCTAACCACGCAAAACTCACGATGGATCCGCCCGCTCGGCCCACCGGTCAGGGTCATGCCCTTCGTGCCCCATGCTCGCTCGCGCCCTTTGTGCCTCATTGCTGCCCTTCGTGGCCCTTCCCCTTGTGGCCCAGTCGCTGCCTTTCGTGGCCCCGATGCTGCCCTCAACGGCCCTTCGTTGCCCTTTGTGGCCAGTATGTACGCCCTTCGTGGCCCCCAGTCGCTCGTACCCTCAGTGGCCCCCTCGCTGCCATTCGTGGCCAATCTGTACGCCCTTCGGGGCCCCCAGTCGCTCGTGCCCTCAGTGGCCCCATTGCTGCCCTTCGTGGCCCCAGTGTAGCCCTGTGTGCCTCCCCCCCGCTGCCCTCAGTGGCCCCCTCGCTGCCCTTTGTGGCCCATATATTCGCCCTTCGTGGCCCCCAGTCGCTCGTGCCCTCAGTGGCCGATATATACGCCCGTCGTGGCCCCCAGTCGCTTGTGCCCTGAGTGGCCCCATTGCTGCCCTTCGTGGCCCCGGTGCTGCCCTCAGTGGCCCCCTCGCTGCCCTTTGTGGCCCATATATACGCCCCTCGTTGTCCTCAAAGTATCTCTCACTTTCTTTCTTTCTCTCTCTCTCTCTCTCTTCGTTCCTGTCTCCACTCTTTCCCTGTTTTAGGGTCTGCGCCGCGTCAACTATACGTGCCGAGAAGTAAAGATGTACCCGCACGCTCTCGCCTGAGCCCGCCTGACTTGCCTGTGACGGCAGGCCTGGCGGCTCGCTTGGAAGCTCGCCGGGTGCTTTCACGTCCCGCACGCCCGACCCGCCCGTTAGGGTCCGCCCGCGGGTCTGCAGGCCCTGCCCGCCCGACCCGCCCGTTGACCGTTGCCCGACCCAACCGTCTGGGTCTGCCGCTTGTTTTCCCGATCCTCTCTTTAGCCCCCCACCTTCTAATCTCTCTCGTCCGCAATTCTGCTCCCTCCCTCTTGTCCCTTGCTTCCCTCACTTTCCCCACTCCTTTCCTCCTCGCTGTTTCTCTCTCCCTCTCTCTCTCTATCCCTCTCTCTTTCTGTCGCTCTTTTTTTTTTTTCTCTCTCTCTCTCTCTCTCTCTCTCTCTCTCTCTCCTCTTGCTCTTTCAAGGGCTGCGCCCGATACACGTGGCAGGTCAGGAAGATGTACCCCCCAGAGGGGGTACGATCGACGACGAAGAGGACGGGCATCGGGGGCTTGACATATACGTGGTGAGGTACGCGCGGGCAGATAAGAGCGAACAGTCTTGAAATGAATGTTGTTGTTGCTGTTGTTGTGATTGTTGTTGTGATTGAACCTTCACTGCTGAATAACAAATGTTGTTGATCCCCCCTTTGATGAACATTCTGTTGTTCACTTGGAAAACTTTGCCCGGGGCTCGCACCCTGTCTTTTATAAGGAAAGCCACGGGCTTCAAACTTGGCCCCTGGCCCCCGGTTTACAACAACAGCGGCTCCCGCCTGATACTTCCTCACAATGTATTTCCCGATCGCGCT